TTTTTTATCCCATGGCAGAAATATCATTCCATAGTTAGTAGATTAAAAATCTAATTTAATTGCCATTTTAAGCAAACACACCAGTGTTATTTTACTATCACCGAGGTACTATTATAGTTTTTTTATTAACAAATTAAATTTTTTTTTTCATTTTAATTGTAGCTATAGTTTTAGTACTTCTGATGCATTTTTGTAATTATTATTATTATATGTTTTAATACAAAAAAAGTTTATTGTTTTATATTTTATTTCAGTTAAAGTATATTTTATGTCAAATAACATTTTTGTTATGGTTTTCATTTTAGTTAACTACAATAGCCCTGAAACACTCATTAACATTAATAAACACTGATTTGCAACATGCAATAAAAAGTAAATGCACTTATACAATTAAAAAAAGCAAGGAAAATATTTTAGTCTCCATATAATAATGCAATAATCAAAAGAAGACAGTGGCTGTTGGCAGGGTTTATCACGATAAGGACGGTATGAAAGTAAGGAGCGATGGCCTTCTTATCTGACTTCTGTAAGAGAGCTGAGGATACAGAGCGCTTACTGTTAGCTACATATAATGTGACTCTTCTGACTCTTCCCCATTCATTTCTCCATAGGGATTTCCCATGTGTGAACCAAACCAACCAGCTCTGAGAGAAATCACAACTAACTGGAATTTGAAGCAAAGCAAAATAAATCAAATAAAGCATTGCAATTGACTTTATCTGAGGGGGGGAAACAGACAAAAGGGTAGAGAATTTGTCAATAAAAAACAACTTTCTGAAAATGAAATTGAAGCATATATCACCGCTTAAAGGTGGGGTAAGCGATTTTTCAAAAGCGCTTTAGAAAACTGATTCGGGCCGAATAGCAAAACAAGCTTGTAGCCAATCAGCAGTAAGGGGCGTGTCTACTCGTGATGTGGAGGAGAGAGCGTTCAGTGCACAGGACGGACGTTAGCCGAGCCGAGCGACAGAAAGATAGAGATGGCGGATAAAAAACAAGAGGAAAACATCTGCGGAACAAAAGAAGGCTTAAGGCAAGAAGTAGGACCCGTGTAAATATGGGATCAGCTTTCCAGCGCTGGAGAGAACTCAAGGAGCGGAAGGCCTGCGATCGGACGCCGAGGTTGCTTTGTTTCTTCTCGATCGGTGAGTAACACCGTGTCTGCGCCGCAGCAGCTAAAGTCTGTCTAGTACACTGGACGCGACAAAGCGACCGTTAAAAATCATTTGAAATTTGTGTCAATACGTCATGAATAGAACAAAGCAGCAGTTTTCTGTCGGGGATTTGTCGTGTCGTGCCGCGCCGCATCCAGTGTAGGCCATAGATATGTATATAGGCTATATCTATGGTGGAGACAGCATCACTGATTATAATGAGTTCTATTGTATTTTGTCGCGACGCGCCACTCGCATCCGGTGTACACACGGTGTAAGATTGGTTTTGCTTTTGTTTCACAGAACTGATTGTTGCCTGGGTTGCGTACGTATGTGTGGGGCGGAGCTATCAAAATAGGGGCAAGACCCTTTTGTGGTAGGGGCGTGTTTGTTTTGGTGATTTCAAATGTCAACATTGGCTACCAGAAATCACTTACCCCACCTTTAATCTCAGAGCTCATATAAGGTTTATACACGGGCATCATCAGTTTCTCTATTGAGTTGTAGCTGAGCTCTACTCTACTGTTGTTCTTTGCTCTTCTGACACACTTGTGTTTGAACAGGTCAGAAGCGCCACCTGCTGGAAATCTGGAGCCCAACATTGAGCAAAACGCTTTGAGACTGACTTATAATTACATGCATGCTGCAGCTTATTTACTGTACATGCTACATGATGCTTACATTTTGCAAAGCCATTAATCTTTTTTTTTTTATGTACAGTCATACATTTGAATGCATCTCATCTGGGAAGGACAATTAAACATTTAGCTGAACTTTAGATCTTAGCTTCAGCTTTGTTTGAAGTTAACTTTTGTGCAATATTTAGTTTGAGCTTAAACAATAATTTGCATTACCACAGCAGACCTGCCAGGGGTCATGGACCAGGGTTATTATAATTAGCTACAATTAACAAACTAAACCATAAAAAAAAACACTTCCTTGCTTAAAAATAAAATTAACTGTAACTGAAATGATATATATATATATACACACATACACACCAACAGTGTTTCGATGATAGATGTTTCCAAAAAAAACTCAAGCTCTTGCTTTGAGGTGTCATTCTTTATTAAACAGTCTGTGATTATATATATTTATATATAGTCTTCCACATCAAACCGTGACATCCATGACTGTAGAGCACCAGGATCATACAACAATCATTAACAAGATGAGTAACAATACATTTACTTTTCACAATCATGACACATCTGAACACATCTGTCAATGAAATCAACACGACTGAAACAAGACTAAAATCAGTCAATTAGCTGAAAAGTTCAAAATATTTAAGGACATTTTTTTTTCATATTTCTTCCCCCAAAAATAGATCCACCACACATTTACATAATCTTCTTAATTATGCATGCTTCAATCAATTTCAATGTTTTTTAAAATTTCAAACGGTTTTGAACTTTTGCCCTTTAATAATTCTATAATAAACCACTTCAGCAGGAGGACAGTCTTTAAAACTCTTGTTAACTGTTAAAACTCCTCTTCTAAAATAAAAAAAAAGAAAAGAAAACGATATTCATGCAAACATAAAGTCACTAAATGTAGTCCCTCTCCTGTTAAACAGACGAACTCTAAACTAAAAAAAACGTGAGAAAACAATGCTTTGGCAATGGCTTTTGTGTTCATGGCTATTTATTCTCAGCACATTTGTGCTTTCATGACAAAGACCACGTCTAGAATATTCACAGCAGCGAACCTCACTTCTGAAAGAACGTTTGCAAATGCATTAATATCTACTTCAAATGACATGGCACAAAGCACAACAAAAGTGTGAAAAACACTTTTTAGATAAGTTACATGAAGGACAAAAGCAATCGCAGAAAAGTGTCAGTGTGTCCGGAGTCACTAGTGTACTGCAAACATTACTCAAGAACTGAAGCTACGTCTCCTGTTTAATCAGCCTTCAGGAAGAGATGATCAACTCCTGGACGAGTATTATGATCCTGTGATGTCCTTTAAAGGAATAGGTCACTCAAAAATGAAAATTCGCTAAGAACGTGCTCGTCCTCGGACCCTCCGAGATTAGGATGAGTTTGTTTCTTCATCAGGTTTGGAGAAATGTAGCATTGCATCACTTGCTCACCAATGGAAGTGAATGGGTGCCGTCAGAATGAGAGTCCAAACAGCTGATAAAAACATCACAATAATCCACACCACTCCAGTCCATCAGTTAACATCTAGAAAAGACATTTTTAACTCAAATACATAGTCCATAATCCATAATAAGGCTTCCTCCAGTGAAAAAGTGGTCTGAATCAGGAGAGAAATCTGCACAGATCAAGCAGCGCTAAAACAGCTCTAAACAAATATGTGGCTGGATTTCGACGTGAGAGACAACAGCAGATGCACTTCTGACGGCACCCATTCACTGCAGAGCATCCATTGCTGAGACACTGATGCAATGCTACATTTCTCCAAACCTGATGAAGAAACAAACTCATCTACATCTCGGATGACCTGAGGGTGAGCGCATTTTCAGCAAATGTTAATTTTTCGTTTAAATATTTTTTTTCAAACTTTGCGTAAACCATCATTTACAGGTTGTTAGACATGTTCAGACTAAAGAAAGTACTAGAGATGATCTGTTTGTTTAAACATGCATATTTTAGATTTAAGAGCTTTTTATTTCAGCTTAAGAGACGTTTCTTTGACCACACAACCTTGTCTAGTTAGTTAGACTGCGCTGCCATATCACATAACTTTGATAAGATTAGCTTATAAAATGACAATAACCAACCGCAAAGTGTTTCTCTCCTCCTAACATTACGTTGAACTTGCCAATCTCATGATCTCCTGTTGACTTTCATGATGAAATGAATGAATCAGGCCATTATCTCCGTGAGTGAGCTCCAGTGTTCAGCTGCGCCTGAGAGACGAGATGTCTGCGATGATCAAGAGCAATGAACTTTAAACAGCCTTTCATCAGCTTTTCTTGTCCTACGTTCAAATGTCATCTGTGAGATTACATTGTGTTCGTTTGTTCTTATAAATGGATGATAAACCCTGTTTTAAAATCATACGAAGTCACTGTGAGCGTTTCAAACGCCACGCACGAGATAAATGCATTTAGGTCCACAGTAATGAATTTTGCACATCTGCAAATATTTCAACTACGCTGGGGTCAGTAAGATTTTTATTTTTTAATTTGAAAGAAATTAACCACTTTTATTCAGCAAGGATTCATTAAATTGACCATAAGCAAAGACATTTATAATGTTAATGAAATATTTATATTTCAAATAAATGCAGTTCTTTTGAACTTTCTATTTACCAAATATTCCTGAAAAATAAAACGTAGCAGTTTCCACAAAAATATTGTGCAGCACGACTGTTTTCAACATTGATAATAATCAGAAAAGTTTCTTGAGCAGCAAATCAGCATATTATACTGATTTCTGAATTTTCACCAAGGCCACATTTATTTAATCACATTTAATCAATCAATTAAAATTTTTGAAATATTATTGCAATTTAAAATAACTTGTTTCTATGTGAATGTGTGTTAAACTGTGCTGTATTTCTGTGATGCAGCTGTATTTTCAGCATCATTCCTCCAGTCTTCAGTGTCACATGATCTTCAGAAATCAGTATAATATGCTGATCTGCTGCTCAAGAAACTTTTCTGATTATTATCAATGCTGAAAACAGTCGTGCTGCTCAATATTTTTGTGGAAACCGTCACACTTTTTATTTTTCAGGATTCTTTGATAAACAGAAAGTTCAAAAGAACAGCATTTATTTGAAATGGAATACACTTGTAACATTATAAATGTCTTTACTCTCACTTTTGATCAGTTTAATGCATCCTTGATTAAAAGTATTAATGCATTTTGAAAATCATAAATGAAATCATAAACAGTAGTTTATGTTTGTTTATTAATTAGACGTGACAAAATATAAAGCACTTGCCAAAGCCATAAACCAAAACACCTGTCCTCAAGGCATAAAAAAAGTTTATTAAAAGATTAATTCCAAACTACTAATAAAGTATGAACCGAAATGATGCTCTGATTGAAAAGCAACTAATAAGTACATGTGCTCACAGCGTCCTCTAGTGTCCACAAACACACAGTAGATGAGCTCAACATGCAGTGCTCTGGCTTTGTTTAGTGACTCTTATGACATAAAAAACAACCAGGTCTTGTTCTGTCAAGTACCGTGTTCTCCCTGAATTAAAACTATCATAATAAATTAAATATGTCGACATACTCCCATCAGAATGAGAAAGCCAGTGGAAAATCATAGTGATTTGGACAATTGCATGCTTATGTTTGCACGTGCATGTGCGCACAAACCGCATTTAAACATTTCTACAAAGATCCCATTAGAGACTGAGGTGGAAGGCAGTTTATGCTCGATGTAAACTATGGATTTCAAGCCCTCGGTAGAAGCATAATAAACAATAAAATGATGCTAAAAGTCTCGCATGAAAGACTGAATCCGTTTCGCAGTTAGAAAACACTACTGTTTTTGCCCCCCTGTGACCTGCATAATCGATTTACAGTATACTGAATATAAGGGCTGATACAGGATCCATTACCCATCTAAGCACAAATCATGCTGTGTTACTGGCGCTTGCTCTGCAGCACTCCCCTCCAGTCGTCGGCCCAGGACTGAAGGCGTCTCTGGGACAGGTTTGGCGGCAGGTGCTTGTTGTGGCAGGCAGTGAACAGGACATGCTCCCAGGACGGATTGGGCTCCACACCTGCAGCAGAAACACAAAGACGTCGGTCCTCCAGAGCGCATTACGTGTGATGTGGGTAAAGCAGGCTCGTACTCACCGAGGATATCAGGTTTGTCATCGATGAGGATGTCTCCGGTCACTATGGTCTTGTCTCTGGTCAAGATGATCTGCTCCAGGAACTCGGAGCCCAGATGTTTCTCAACCCAGGCATACTGGGGGACAAACACACTTCACTAGACGAAGCCGCACTGAAATATGGTTGTGTGTGTGTGTGTGTGTACAGCATATTGGGTAAAAAAAAAATTTAATCTTCACTATAAGCTTTAAATTGCTGTTAAATAAATCATCAGTAAAAAGGGATTTAAAAAAAACTATATTCTATATAATATCTTACTTTCACCAAACTCCCAGCAATGGGATTGCTTCAATTATGTTTTATATAGAAATGTATATAAACTACATAAAATAAATAATAATTAAAAAAAAGGCTGAACATGAACACAACAATAACAGACGAGCAGAAAGAAGCAAAACACAATAATAATAATAAAACATACAAACACACACATAAAATGATGAATCTAACATTAACTTATTCAAATCCGGAAATAAATAGACAGTTACAGGATTTTGACAAATTCCAAGAAAAGTTATTTTGTAAGACGAATAAGAAATATGTCAGACTCTGCACTAATTAAGTCAACGAACATACACTGATCAAGTGAAATTGAGCAGCAATTCTATTCAAAAAAGAAACGATAGTATATTATGTCAAACTAAATGATTAATTATAATTTATTGTATTTATTATCAATGATTTTGTCGCCCAAAAATATAAATTTTAATCCTATTCATCAGGCATTCAAGAGGTGTGTGCATTTAATTTTGAATACATTTATATAAAAACAAAAATGGGTCAACATGTATTTTACTGTGTCCTTGTTACATAAATAAGTACCGAGTAATATGAATAAACACCATGTACTTACTATATGTTCACTGTTTTTAAGAAATGAATATCATGTCGCTGACCTTGAATAGTGGTCTCAGACTTTGGAACCCATTATACACAATCAATAAATAACCCAATCAGACCAAAGTCCATCAATAAATACAGTTCAACCTCAGTTTAAGCGAACTTACCTTTTCATACGGACAGTAGCTGTAATGCTTTATTGGACTGGTGCAAATGAAGACATCTGTACTGGGTGAAGGAAAGAGAAACTAAGCAAGAGTAATAATATATGCAAACTAAACATTTGCTCAAGGCAGATTACTAGCTGTGCTGTTATGCAGCGTGAAGTAGTTCATCTGAGACTGTCTCTGACTGTACTTCACTGTGACCGTCACACAAACACTTCAGATTAGCATGAAATGAATCACAGAACTAGTACAGCAAGACAATGTCCCACAGACACCAGCTGGTTGAACTTACTTCTCCATCTCGGACATCTCCTTCACCGCCTCCACTCCTCCGGGAAGAGGCTCCAGGTCAATGAAGAAATTTTTGGACTCCCAAATGCTGATGGCCTTTTCCTGCAGTCAATGCAAGCTTTGATTATCGTCATTCAACATTAGGGATGTTCATTCTTATTACGAGTAGTGACCAAAATGATCACGGTATTGTTGAAATGTGCTGGAAATGTAAAAAAAAACACTGATGCATAAATCACTAAACCAGGTTTTATACATAAAATCAACAAACCACCAATAAAATGACTTTTTGTTCGCATAATCACTAAAACAATAACGTCACAATGATGTCCTGGTTTTAAATGAAAACATGACTGACAATAATTTATCTAATAGCATGCTCAAATATCTAAAGCTTTGAAAAACCTCACATTTCAGCCTTTAAATAAAGAAAAGGGTTAAATGATAATTGATTAATAAATTATGTATTTTATCTGCTCCATAAATAATTTTAGATACTTTTATCTGAATTGTTCTAATGTGTAGAATCACACACACACACACACACACACCTCAAGCGCCGATTTAGCAATACATTTTAAAATGTTATATACACACACAATCATCATCTTTATATCAATAATCGTATACTTCTCTGTCGGTTTTAGTTTTAAAATTATTAGTTTTAATTTCGGTTCCATTACGTCATTGTAGTTCATTCCCTTACAGTCTTGAACTTTATGAAATTCAAATACCTTTTTGGTTCAAAGCAAAATTTGTAATGTTGTGATTGACCTCGTAGCTGCTTAGTTATGATGCATATAGTATGCAAATACTACAAATAATATATTATTAAATTAGATATAACATAAAAAACTTTACGTGGCTAAATTAAATAGCATCTCTATTCTGTTTTCTCAGTAAGCAAAATAATATTTGTGGCTATCGCCCTGCTTATTTTTTTTTTCTCTGAAATGATGGAAAATATAAAGAATTAACCTATACTATTTAACAGATTTTTTTTTTTAAATGTACATCAATATGTCCACGTACTGATTTGTTTTGCACCGTTATTGCTTAAAGATACATCCTGCGAAATCTTGATGTAAATAAAACATTTAGCTCTAAATACGTGAAAATATCTAAACATAATTATCTCAAAAATAGCATTCGTTTTCCGACAGGACAGATCCCGTGCCTGAGATCTCGTGGAATCTGAGCTGTCACCCAAACCTCGCGATATTTGTGCGCTGTTGGCGGCTGAGTGAGGGCCCGTCGCTTCTGTACAGGAGAGCTGCTTCTGACGTTTGAATGAAAAACATCTTCCTAAAAGCGCAAAACGATGGCTTCGGCTCTGGAGCAGTTCGTGAATAACGTGCGGCAACTCTCTGCTCAAGGTACCGCCGTTTACACGGTTCGCGAACGCTCAGGCTAACGAATACACGAGCTAACTAGCCTAGTGCTAAAAGCCGTTAGCGCGATAGCATGCTAGTTGTTTATATATATCAGGCAGCAACACATGGCATTTGCTTATCTAAGTCTGTTCGTCCAAGTGGAAATAAAAACCTAAATGCTGCAGAATAAGTACACATCTCGGCTTACACCAGTGGAATGACTGCAGGTGCCATGTTAGCTGAGTCATTTATAAAATATGGTAAAAAAATGCCACCATAACAACACTACTCTGAGTTTCTCTGCCACGTGTAGCCACTTTTCAATAAGAAGGACAGGTTATCGTTATTAAACAACTAAATGTGAGATCTGGATTGCGTGCATATTTGCATTAAACTGATGTGAAATCATGTTTTCATGAATAATGCTGTGTTTCAGGTCAGATGACTCAACTGTGTGAGCTGATCAATAAAAGCGGGGAGCTTCTGGCCAAGAATCTCTCCCATCTGGACACTGTTCTTGGAGCGCTGGACATCCAGGAACATTCCCTCGGGGTTTTAGCTGTTCTGTAAGTTGGTGACTTGTTGATTCACAGCGGATTCATTATATATATATATATATGACATATAATCTAACCTAGTAAAGCTGTAGACTAGTTCAGACTAGTTCACAGCTGTCTGTAATGCGTCACGAACAAAAACACCATGTTTCTGAGCACGGTACCATGGTATTACCATGATTCTGGGCATGGAGTTCAGTGAAGCTCTTATATCGCTAACACTGTTATGATTCTGTGTGTATTTACCACACATTCTATGGTATTTACACACATTTACCTCAGATTACCACAGCAGTGGGTCACGTGACCTGCACTATATGAATCACATTCACCATAAAGCTAAAGCCTTTCTCTCTTACACACTCACTCTCACACTCTCTCACTCACTCACAC